ATATCGGTCATTCATCTCGCAAAATACACGCATGACTCATGATGGTGACGGTCGTACTAGAGGGATTCATACAGATCGAAAATAAATAGTCGCTGGAAGTCAAAACAATCCACGATCCAAAAAGCTACGATATCCAAATGAAGAACATTTTCTCAACAAAATCGAGTGTACAGCAACGCATACCGATTGCCCATGGTCGCTGATTAAACGTCCTTCGAATTTCCACTTGAAGTTACGTTTGCCACTTGTGTTCTCGAGACTGATTGTAATCGAATCATGCTCGACAGAGTCTGATGATGTGGACAGCTCAGATTTTGCACTCTCAGAAGTGAACAGTCCACTAATTTTCGTCAAAAGCACCGCATCTGGAGCACTCAGTTTCGCGTTTATCGCCGTGAAAGTCTTGGCGAGAGGAACACGATCCAAGTAAAGGTGTTGATAATCAGTCAGAAGCGTTATCAAATCGCCATCCTCAAAATTTCATTCAATAGGAACATTACTTAGTCAAAAATGGAAATTTTCAAAAAAAATTATTTGATACGTCTTAAAAACTTCACATCCAAGATTCGACTACTGAGTTTAAGAGACACATGAAATGAATAGGTTTGCATTTTATGAATACCTACACTATCCACTTTGATATTGTGAGTATCCGTGAATTGACCTACTCGAAGTAAAAGTTTAACGGCGTATCTTTGCGAATCCGTTGAGAAACCGGTCGTTGTCCATGCGATTCGGATCAAATCGTTTTCACTGAGAATTTCCATCCCATCGAAACCGAACACCTCGTTCACAAACAACGCTTTCGTTGAGCACAACAACCCACAAGCTAAGACTCAGTTGGTTTTAGTGAAAATTTCTTGAAAACTTCTTCCAAACTTCTTACAACTTTTGAAAATCTATTCCTGACTTCACGCTCCTGATCAGTTTTGTTATAAGACAATAGCAACTTCTAACAATTGCCGAAGTGATGAACGTTTCCGAAAAATATGCATATGCATATGCTAGCGTGAAGTATAATGGAAATTCTATGGGCCAATTAATTGTTTAATGCTTTGACGTACTTTTCAAAATTCAAGTTCAGAAATGCAGCAAGTTATCACATCTCTCCAGTTATCAAGCATTGTGCTGACTGCGCTTCCAGATGAGATTTTGGCTTGTGATCGCCGATCTTGATATAATTGACAGAAAAGCATTCTGGCTTTGAATGTTCTACAAAGACGAAACTTTGCGAAACGAAGCAACCGAACAACATTTCAATAACGACGTTAAAATACTTTATTGAGAATGTGTGAGCATAGAGAATATCTTTTTAAAAAAAGTATTAATAAGTTATTCATTGAAATGAAACAGGCTTTAGTATGCTAACAATTGAAAGTAGCAATTGAACCACAATGCCAGCAAAATATTCTCGCACTATTGCAAATAATCCGCATAACATCAGAAACGTAAACAGAACCATTTGAAAGGAGACGAAACAACAACAGCGAAACTGATAGAATATGAAGTTTCTTATTTCAAAATTACTTTTGAAATAAGAATTTCATTTCGAAGAAAAAAACGAAAAATTTTTGCTTTCTGATTTGATCAGAGTTAGCAACGAAGTAAAATATTTCAACATAATATAATCAACATGACGACCTCTCATATATCCTCCAAGATATGTTCTTATTCTTATACGATTTCATATCAAGAGCACTTTCAATATTGCTTTCCTTTGGAGGAACAAGACCCAACCAAAAAATCTATTACAAATGTTTGAAAATAATGTTAGAAAACTGACCAACTTGAGAACTTATAAGAAATTCGAAGAGACTACACATAGAAAGCACGAGGAAGAAAAAAGAACTATGCGGAAAAAATGAATGAAAATTTATTCGTTTTGTGAGAATTGCGCAAAATTGAATGCAACATTTTCAAAGAAAATTAACAATTAACATTTTCAACGAACAAAACGATGAATTGACGACGGATAAGAAAACTGATCTACCCTTGTTATCCCAATAAAATAACACTGGGAATAGCATCAATAATAGCCCCTCTATAAAACCAACATGCAAATATTCAGCTTAAAGAAAAGCATTTGATAGGACTGCTGCGATGTGATGTTATTGCAGAGTAAACAATGAAAATTTCGAATATAAAACTAAAAACTCTTCCCAAAAAAACAAAAATTCGTCCAAAGTACACCAATTAAATCTAAAAATCGATGAAATTCACTGAATACTTCATTTCATAGCTTTTTTTTTCATACTAAAACGCCACGAAATATCGCTTCAACATGAAAAGTGAATTTGTTTTAAGCACATACGAAGTACAAAGCAGCAGTATTGAAGTACTTTAAGACGGATGCAAATAAAGTTTTAAATAAAACAACAAATAAAAAAAACAAAAATCAAACATTAAGATGTAAGGAACAGATGTGCATACGAAAGAAATTTCAGTTAAGACAACCGATGATAATAAATATCCATAAGAATATGAAATATGCAAAAATCCAGCTCTGAATTCACAATCGAACACCGGTCACAGTTTTAAACACCAACACATACACACACATAAACGAACCGAAATCGAATTCACAACAAATCAAATCCACCGATTTTATCACAGCGTTGACGCTTCTCCATTTACATTGTTCATTATACCGTCACCTCATCTTCTGAACTTCTCGTAATTTTCACTTGGAATCCACTCGGGAAACTATTTTTTAGGCCACCATCTTTCCTCTTACCGAATACAATAAAAAGTACGACTATTATAAAATCCCCAAACGCATTCAACAGATGGAATTTCGATTTCAGATATGAAAGAAAAAACCACAAATTTGGTGAAACATACCACAAACTTTAACAACAATCGCACTGTGTACACTTATAAAAACACCCAATCAGATAACTATTTTCAATTCTATTGGAGGATCTTTCAAATGGAGAAGCTGAGAAGAATTGATTTAAGAAGCCGAAAAGGAAAAAAAAACAGAACGAACAAATTAGAAAATGGGAAGGAAAGAAAAAAGAAACAATAAAGAAAAATCACAACACCGAGCAATAAATGAAACGAAATCAAATGAATGAAAATAAAATGAAACGTAACCAAATGATCAAACCTTACAAGTATATGAGCATCGTACATAAGAAAGCAACGTAACAAACACCAATATAGAATATACCAATGAAAATTACAGACTGAAACTTCAGTAACGTAACTAAATTGCTTCTTGACAATGTTAAGCGAGAAGATAATTAAAGCTACTCGAACAAACACACTGGTTGCACGAAACAATAGCAGCAACAGATATCATTACTGGTATTATTATTGATACAACATTTCGAAATAACCATTAATTAATATCGANCAACAATAATTCAAATAGCAGTGAAATGATGTCAAGAAACGAACATACGATAAATTATGTAAACAAACAGAACTGACGGATGAAATAAACATTCCACGTTTTACTCAAGTTTGATTATCAATTTCATCTCTGATTTTTGGAAGATGCTGAGGATATACTGATGCAGATATTCGAGTATTCATATCGAAGGAAGGACAAATGAAGAGAGACTGGGAGAAAATAGCTGAAAAAGAGAGCAGCAGAGATAGAGAATGTGACTAGACATCCAACGGAAATTACGTTACATGAATATCAATAACTGAAAACGTCAAGCTTAAGATTGCTTTTAATAAATCAACAAGACACCGGACGAAATGATCCAGTATATTCAGAAAGACATCAGCTCCTAATGAATAGATGAATTTACAACAACTACTACTATTGCTCATACCTGCAGACATAGAGTTGGTTGAATCTTTATAGCTCGTATAAAATGAACGTTAGACAGCCAACAATTCAAAGGGGATCACAGAAAGACCAAACGCTAAATGATTCACTGTACCATCATCTCGAAACGGAACTGAAGATTGTCATGAAACACCAACAAGTTTCGAAGAGTAAGAAGCAACGAGAGAGAGCGAGGAATAAACAATGACTAAACCTAATTAAGTGGATGAAGGTCCCGAGATGATTCACAAGGACACAATTTTTTTGCTAAATAAAGAAAAGAGAAAAGAATAAAACCAAACGAAATCGTTCAGAAACAAACTGGAAATGAAATCATTGAAAGAGATTTAATTGCGACTGGAATAAATTAAACTTAAAATCAATTTTGCTCACAAACAATCTTTCGAAAACCGCTTCGATCAATGCGAATGAATCAAATATTCCTACATTGTATTGGTACCATCACGCTGTCATTCCTCTCACTGTACCATTCCGACGAGCCTGAAACAAACACGAACATTCACTCTGAATTAATTGTGAGCTGCTTAATGTGGGAATAATCAGTTATAACCACTTTCAGCAGACCTTAAAGCAATACCCATTTGTATTCTCTTGTAAGGATTCATGCCTAGTTGTGCACTTATCACTTATTTCATGACTGCTTTCTTCATAAGCAGATTCCCGAATCGATATTATAACATGTAACGATACAATTTCTTTGGCGATTTACTACGTCAGTTGAAACAAGCGAAACGGCAAAACCCTTTAATTTCATTCACTTCGCACAGCGCAGATATGTAGAGGTAAATACCGCAGCTAGCTCAGCTGCATAAGATGCATAAAAAGGTAACGATGATAATCAAATAAAACGATTATGCTCGGCCTTACACTCACCTCATCTAATTCTTTTTGGGCTTTCTCCTCAATTGCTCGAATATCAGCCATCGTCAAGCCATACCAATTATCGATCCAACAAAACACTTCACGATGGAATTTCGAGAATAACCGTGGATATTGCTTAAACATTATCGCTATAAACTCCTCATAAATCTCACTTAACACCGAACGCATTGACGCAGCCTGCCTACACATTGACGTCAATCTCACTATTGGACGAAGGCAATCAAAAATGATGGCAAAATTTGATTCGGTTTCAATAAAACACCTCAAGTCATCCATAAAACAGAACATTGAATAAGCAATAACTCTGACTGAATCATTGATTCTCATGTATACTTACGTGACAATAAGGAAAGAATGAAAACAGAACAAACTATTGAAACATACCGAATGTGCGAAAGATTCTACCAATTTTTGGAATCCAAACCACTTAAAGTAGACAGTGACGAGTTTATAAGCGCACATCACTGGTTCGACCGTACTTCGCCAATCTCCGGTGAGTGGTCCTCGATTGGTTTTCTTCGATTTGAACAAGGCTGGAGAGGTTTCCGGCTTGATATCCTAAAATAATACGTATTCTCCTTCACCAAAAGAAATTCTCTCATTCCCGTTCGTCAATTTCGTACCCCAAAAGAAGTTGAAGATTATAATACAAATCGATTTTTTCGATCTGAATGTGGGCGAGAAACTTAGGAAGACGTCTTAATAAGCAAAAACTCACAGCATTTGATAAGAATTCGTTATTATTAGCGATATTGATGTACACAACTTCACGATTGGCCAACTCATCGTCACTCAATCCATGTGCATTTTTTGTGGTGCCCCTATCGGGTAAATGCATTGACTCGATTTTGATGAAGAAATTCTCTTTCATATAGTCAGGATTCTGCAAACAAACGAATAATACCTCTCTTTCAAAAGACATGAATTATCAATGCACCAAAGATTATGACGTATAAAAGTAAACAAATATGAGGAATGTGAAATACTGATTGACGGGTGTTAATGATTATGGCATAAGATGTGAATCATAGCATGGTATGTGTGTTTGCGTCGTCAGTCTCTTCTGATCACTCGTGCAAACAATATGATAACACTAACCGTAAGAACGGTTTTACAATATGGATACGCATTCCATGCTTCCTCGTGGATAGCCAGTGATCCCTTTGGTGCAATCTTTCGCAATATTGATGGTACTTTTCTGGAAATAATGACATTCACATATCGAGACATCAGACGGAAACAAAAATTTCAGAACAACAAATACAGTAATCAAATACAGGAATATTCATAAATAGTCAGCTAGAATTTTGAAGCAATAAGACCGTTAAAATGAATATTTAGGCCACAAAGTGGATCAATTCGAGTAGATTTGGAGAAGAGAAAATATCACGGCACACAAAGCGCTACTTATGATAAAATTCGAATTTTGAGCAAAAACAATTCGGAATATAATTATCTGAGAATGAGTAAACTTACGACTGTAAATGATATATTTTATGGGTGTATTGCCCTTGCGAAAAGCGACCACCTAATAGCGGTACATCGGTAAAAGGCTCATTTTTCAACACCTCAACACCTTCTCCACCACCCGTTTCAGCTTTAGATGCCTCAGCTACTGACCATAGCTGACCCACTTGATATTCATCTACCGTCATCGGCAACACCACTCGACTGAAAAGAATATTTATGAGGATCACAAACATTTTCGCTCATATCAACTGGAGGAAAACCAATAACATTGGATTCCATGACATATGCTTGTTATCTTTTAAAGAGAAATGTGTTCAATGAAAGTTTTTAAAATTTATTTCTGAACACCTCTCCACTCTCAGAACAACTTCATTTAAGAGCAGTAATTTTTCGATAAAAGTAGACATTTTATCAAGTGTACCAAAGAATCGAGAACAAATTCAGTAAGAAGATATGAGACAAAAGGTCTTACTATTCTTTAATGATCATCGTGGACAGCCTTTAGAATCGTTTTGAGTACCGCTACAAATGAATACTTACTGAAAATAAATTCCTCATCATTATTGGCCACAAATAAGCACCAGAACAAATACATTTCAAGCGAAAATTTTCGAGACAGAACAATGTCAATGAAGAAAGGCGGCGGCAATCACATAATGCGCGGCTATCTCTTCAATCTACGCTTTTCCAATTTCACAATTCAATTCCTCATATGCTGCGTAACCGACAGCAACGGCCCATCATAAAATGACTGAGATTAATGTGGTAGAAACAAGAAACGAGGGCATGCGAAATGTAAAATTATTCCATCGATTTTTCCGAAAAAAGACCACAAATGCGTCAATCGGATGGAAACGTCAATCTTCAATCGACAACGACAATTCATAGTAGGTGGGATCGTTCGCCAAATTTCTTTTCGGGTTCGACAGTCCCTATTCGCAACTCAATACAGCACTGCATGTCGCTCGCATTCCATCACTGCAACGTTACAATACGATACTGCGTACGGTAGTTTTGAGTCATGCTATCGTATAACAAGCTGATTACTTTAGCGAGCTACTGTGAACCTTAAATTCTCGCAATGGAACCGAAGGGTGACGTTAAATAAAATTTGTCGGTTGGGAAAACTAATGGTGAATGCATTAGACACACTGACGATGATGTCTCGCCGCATTTAAGCTGAATAATGTTGAATAATGATTTACAAAAGTTGATTGACTTTTTTGGTGTATGAACAATATAATAACACTCGTGCAAACAATATGATAACACTAACCGTAAGAATGATTTTACAATATGGAAAGGCATGAAAAGGTCTATAGCCTTTCCGTTTATCACTTTGCTGTCACAGCACAACCATTGGAAAAATGAAACTTATCAATATCATAAACTTTTCAACTGCTTTTTCTACCGATATTCGGGCGCATACTTACTTCTTCAATTGATCACCTTATCCAAAAACTTATGAATAAGCACTTAGATGCCAATTAACAGCATTCAAGATTAAATGTTTTGATTGGGAATTTTAGAAAGTTACGAATCTGTTTGAAATTTATTGCTCTATTTACAATCATCGATAAATTCATCACATTTTCATTCAAATTCATCACATATAAATTCATCAATTCCTAGAAAATGATAACAACCGATTAAGATTTTACAATATTAGCATGAAAAATGAACACGAATGAATGTCGGTATTATTGGTAACGTTCAACATTTGACAGAACTTGATTTGAGGGATTAATCGTCGGATTTTTTGCACTGTTTTTGTTCTTCGTTTTCAGGTGCTTCTGCTGCTTTCAGATTTTTCGGTTCTTCATCGTTGCTTCCGGTGGCTGAATCGGTGTAGGTTTTCTCCAATTTTATCGCATTCCAAAACGATGCCCGTCGTCTTTGATAATTTTCACGCATTGCACACGTCAAATTCACGCTATAATATCGCCACGTATCGTCTGCGGTTAACGGTTGCCATTGCGGTATGCCATCCGAATTCGGATCCCTAAATTTGAGTGTGGCTTTTGATTTGTTGGGATTCAGTTTTGTTCTATTGCTATCAAGAAACGTTCGATATCATTGAACT